AGGGAGAGAGGGAGAGAGATGCTTTGAGCATTGGACTACAACTCTGGAGATCAGGATTCAGATCCCAACTCAGCCATGGAAAGCTACTGGATGACCTTGGGTAAGTCATACTCCCTCAGCTTCAGAGGAAGACGAATCATGTCAAGGAAACCCTATATAGTGTTTGCCTTATGGTAGTCTGACAGGACTTGAAGGCATACAACAACGACAATGACAACAACAACCTTAAGGTACTATCATGATGGTAACTTTCCTCCTTCTCTCCTTACCTCTACTGAACACCAGCCAAAATGTGATCCATTCTGCCAGCAATTGGAACAAATGCTGAATGACATTTCAATCTATTTTGGGAGTAACTGGGCCAGGGGAAGTTATCTAGGGTCTGTCTCCACCAGTGATTCCCAACCTGTGGTCTGTGGACCACCAGTGGTCTGCAAGAACTAAAATATAGTCCGTGACCTCTCCATTATTTCACCGTTGCAATGAGAGCAACTGGTCTCACAAAACCCTCTTATAGTGCCGAGGCTTGTTAAATATAGTTTTCTGTGGGCGAGCAGATGGTGACTACTGGATGGCATATTTTCTGTATCAGAAACTAGAGCTGATGTGGGCTATCCAATGCAATTTTCTGAATCAACACCCAAATAACCAAACCAAATCTAAATTTGACCAAAAACTGATTCGTAACCCTTTTGGTACTAATGTTGGAAAATGGTCCCTGGTCAAGTGGTCCTTGGTAAAAAAAGGTTGGGAACCACTTGTCTACACCATAGATTTAGTGCAGTTTGACACCACTTTAACTGCCGTGAGAATTTTAGTCTCTAGTCTTCTTTGTCAAAGAGTGCTGGTGCCTCATCAAACCACACCTCTCAGAATCCCTTAGCCTTGAGCTAAGTGGTGTCAAACTGCATTAATTCTACAGTGGAGATGTACCCTTATATAAATTCTTTTAACCCAATAGCTGATACAGATTGGCCAGTGATAGCAAGACAGTCAAAAGTGTTGTCTGATGACTTCTTCCCCTTTAAGATATTTGAGCAGCTGGATTTTTTTAGACATTCAGATCATTCCAGATAACACTGCCCTTAATAAGGTTTCCCCTGACATTAAGTCTAGTTGTGTCTGACTCTGGGGGTTGTTGCTCATCTAAATTTCTAAGGGTCCGACGTGTGATCCAATTCAGCAGCCAGCAGAGTAATTTTGTTTGCTGTGGACTCATCTTGTTGTGTTTCAAATAATAAAAGTAATAATAATAATAATAATAATAATAATAATAATAATAATAATTTATTTGTTGACCGCCCTATCTCCCCAAAGGGACTCAAGTGTCACCATTTTTGGGACTAAGTGAAGGTAAAGGTTTCTCCTTGACATAAGTCTACTCATGTCCGACTCTGGGGATTGGTGCTCATCTCCATTTCTAAACCAAAGAGCCGGCATTGTCCCTAGACACCTCCAAGGTCATGTGGCCAGCATGACTGCATGGAGTGCCATTACCTTCCCGCCAAGGCAGTACCTATTGATCTACTCACATTTGCATGTTTTTGAACTGCTAGTTGGCAGAAGGTGGGGCTAACAGTGGGAGCTCACCCCACTCCCTGGATTCAAATCGCCAACCTTGCAGTTTAACTTGCTGCACCACCAGGAGACCCTTCAATAGCTAACTTGAGATTTGCAGCAATTTTAAAACCAGTATAAACACCCACTTTGGTGGTCAATGATGATGGTTAAAAGAAGCAGTGGTATGCTGCTGAAAGTGTGTCCATATATGTTCCTTGGTGCAATGTAAAGCTATGGCTGTATGTTCAATGTTGCCCTTATTTCCAAAGATACAGAAGGCACGAGGAAGGCAGATATGGTGCCGAAGGGTGATCAATTAAGACATTAAGTATTTTCCAACACATGGCCACATTTGCATTTTCTCTTAGTAATCTAGCCATCAGCTCATTTTCAGGGGAGCATGGCCTACTTCAACTAAATCCTCAGATCAAAGCAAAAATGCCCGCTTGCGTTTCCTCGTCCGAAAAGAGATGCTAATTTAGAGCCCTTAATGTGGGGCGATGAGAGACTCCTTCAATTAACTGAATTCTATGGCTCCGGAATAATAATAATAATAATAACAAAAATAATAATCGCCAAAAAGAGATACAAAGAGAGTCAGGCTGGAAAGGCAGAAATACTCATTAAACTGCAAAGGTCCGGCATTCATTACCTGTAGCATCTGGGGCTAAATGCTGGAAATGCAGCCCATCAAAGGGTTTGCGTGCCTCTCTCGCTCTCTCGCTCTGTGTAATGGGTTAAATTGGAAATATAATCTAATTAAAATATTAGACGCGAGCAAATAGTTCTTTGATACCCCTCTAAAGGTTTCATTAAAAAGAGGTTCTCGAGCTTTGTAGGAAGGGGATTATCACTTTTAATCAGAGCAACAACATGTTTTAGGGGCATCATCAGAAATGCTTCAAAGTGGTGCCATCTTGGTGGGTATATTTTCGATTGGAGGAATGGTTCGTAATGGATAAAACACAGTTGCACCCATATCTTGCAGATTTAAAGTCTGGATCTAGAAGTATGAAGGTGAATATGGGGTTTTTGTTATTGTTTTGCTTTGCTATGAGTTATTTATTGTTGTATTGTTGTTGTTGTGTTTTTTGTTTCTGAGGTATTTGGGGTTGGCCTCTTGTAAGCCACACCAAGTCCTGCGGGAGATGGTAGCGGGGTATAAATAAAGGTTTATTATTATTATTATTATATTATAATTGGGAGTGTGTTTGTGTGTCTTTGCAGTGGTGTCACTAGGAGGATGCGAGGGGTGAAAACCACATTGGGTGACACTATCAGAGGGGTGACACCAACATGATTGTCTATAAAAAAATCTGTGCAGTGTTTCTGCTGATTTTTTAAAAATATATATCTTTGCTGTTCCAAAAGCATTTTTGTAAGCTCAATTTATTTGTTTGTTTGTTTATTTATTTATTTATTTATTTACCATACTTATATAACGCCCCTCTCAGCACCTACAGTCAAAGAGCATTCTGAACCCCACCAATGACAAAATTAGGCCAAACCTCCCACACAGAATCCCCATGTGGGCCACAGCAATGAATGGCAGGGGATGGCTAGTCTATATACATAAAAATGTAATGTTCGTTTGTGGGATTAACATAACTCAACATAACTCAAAAACTACTGGACAAATTGACACCAAATTTGGACCCAATACACCTATCAGGCCAACAAGTGACCATCACTCATAAAAAAACTGAAAAAAACAGTGAAAGGGACTTAAAAAGCCAAAAAAGCAAAAAGATGCTACAGCATATGTGCAAAAACTATTCTCCCACCAAACAAAACACACAATAACATATCCACATTCTCTTCCAGATTACAGCTCCAAGCATCTCCTAGATGAGGCCCTTTAGGAGAATGATCCAAATGCACTGCTTCCAAGATGCAAGCTTTCTTCTCCTTGGATTTCTTTGAGAGCATCTCAATCCCTGCATATTTCCAATTTCCTATTCCTGGACTGCAACTCCCAGCAATCCTCCAGATAGATAGATTGGATAGATAGAGATAGAGATAGAGACAGAGACAGAGATCAGGAGGACTGCTGGGAGTTGCAGTCCAAGAATAGGTAGAGAAGGAAGAAAGGGGAGAAAGAAGAAGAGAAAGAAAAGGAAGGAAGGGAAGAGGGAGAGAAGGAAAGAAGGAAAGAGGGACGGAAGGAAGGAGAGAAAGAAAGAAAGAAAGAAAGAGGTTGGCCACAGCAACGCGTGGCGGGTACAGCTGGTACAATATAAAAATGTAAAAAACACACAAAGCCTTAATACATTATTGTGAACATCTCCATGTCAAGTCATTATTCCATTGCGTTATAAAGTAATTCCATGATTCCGTATAGTTATGCTGTATTTGGGAAGGCCTGCTCAAAAAGCCAGGTTTTAACTTTTTCGATAAGTCAGGAGGGAGGGAGCCGATCTTATACCTTAGGCAAGACATTCCACAGCTGAGGGGCCACCGCTGAGAAGGCCCTGTCTCTCATCCCCGCCAGACTGATCTGCAAGGAAGGTGGGACTGAGAGTAGGGCCTCCTCAGGAGATATTAACATGGAGCCACCGGTGGCGCAGTGGGTTAAACCCCTGTGCCGGCAGGACTGAAGAACGATAGGTCACAGGTTCAAATCTGGGGGGAGGCGGATGAGCTCCCTCTTTCAGCTCCAGCTCCTCATGCGGGGACATGAGAGAAGCCTCCCAGAAGGATGATAAAAAATCATCTGGGCGTCTCCTGGGCAACGTCCTTGCAGACGGCCAATTCTCTCACACCAGAAGCGACCTGTAGTTTCTCAAGTCGCTCCTGACACGACCAAAAAAAAAAGAAAAAAGAGAGATATTAACGTCCTAGATGGTTCATAAGGAGAGATACATTTGGATAGGTAAGTTGGGCTGAAACCGTATACAGTGTGCACAATTCACATATGTGCACACTGTATAAAACATATGTACACACTGTATAAAACTCCAAGCAGTCATGCCGGTCACGTGACCTTGGAAGTGTCTACGGACAATGCTGGCTCTTCGGCTTAGAAATGGAGATGAGCACCAACTCACAGAGTTGGACACGACTGGACTTAACGCCAGGGGAAAACCTTTACCTTTACCTTATAAGACTAAAACTCTAGGCTAATTAACTTCGAATCTGCATGTCTTTTGGTCAGAGCTGTTGTTATTACCCAGTTCCAACAATACTTTGAATTATGGGTCTCTCACTGCATAAACTATGAACATACAATATCGCTTTTGCTGCTATTGGTTTTCTGTATTTCCTGATTTTCCTGACCGCTTTGAGTCCCCCCTTCCCCCAGGTGAGAAAAGTGGTATACAAGGGAAGTAAATAAATGAATACATTAAATTTGGTCCTTGAGCTGATGACATTTCCCCACCCACAATCCCAAAAATGTTTTTTCGAAGGAAAGAAATGGAGTCAGGCCATTCCTTATTAAACTCTTTTATTATCAACAATAAAATCTGACCAAAAAAATAAATGAGATTGTGCAAACAATGTGGGAAAACTTTTCCATTTCGTAAGTTCATTAGGCTCATCCTAAAACACTTCTCCTCCAACAGTCCAGGCGAGCCGCTGAAGAAAGACTTGGACAGCGTTGGATCCCGCTTTCTGTGTCCAGATTGGGGAACGCAGCACAGGGTTCCTCATACAATATGGAGGGTCTTGAAAGCAGCTACAACTTGCTTCTCCTTCTCGTGCCTGTTCTGCAGCGATTCCAGGGACGCAATGGGAGGGAGATTCTGTCCGTTTAAAGTGCGGGCCAAATGTCTTTCCTCTTTGGGTTCTTGCTCCAACGGCGGCCTCGACACAAACAGCTTGGGCTTGGGGATGGTCTTGGCATACTCCAGGGCCTCCATCGATCAAACAAAGACACAAAAATATGAGAGATCACGTTGAGCTTTCATAGGAAAATCAGAGCCACAAAAAGTGGCAGGAACAGTGGTAAATTTGCTTCTGGGCTGACTCTAAACTGTCCAAGGTACTGAACCACATTCTCCCAAATGGTTCACTACCGGTTGTTCGGATAACTCATTTAAAGTTGGATTAAAACCAGTAATAGATTCCATGCCTCATTAATATGGAAGCCACCAATAGCCACAGTCAACAAATCTATATAAATAAAAATGTAATGTTTGTTTATGGGATTAACATAACTCAAAAACCACTGGGCAAATTGACACCAAATTCTGACACAATACACCTGGTGCTTTGCTTCTAAAGTGTTTTTAAAGTTCTGGTGGTGAAAATTTCGGAACTCTTAACAAAACTTTCAAAATTTCGTTATAAATGGCATTTTCTTATTGGTTTTGTCATAAAAATTGCCATTAACAGAATAATAATGAAATTTTGAAAGTTTTGTTAGAGTTCTGAAACTTTCACCACCAGAACTATAGAAACACTTTAGAAGCAAAGCACAAGCGCCCCTTAGTTTTGTAAGTACTTTAGAACCATTTAGAACCATGGATCACACATGCCTAATGCTTAGATACCACTTTAACTGCCATGGGGTCTGGAAAAATCCAACTGTTAGCCAAAGATATTCTAGCTTTAAAAGTCCAGGTTGCACGGAACAACAGTGTTTATATAGCAATGAAAGGGGGGGGGGGGAAGGTCTGATTAACCCCATCTTCTCTCCCCTTTCTAGATTTCTATTTCCCTTGCAGCTCATTTCACCTTTTTCCTCGACACTGTCGATTTGTTTTCTGGTTTTGCCACTGTTTTGCGTGTGCTTGCGATGTTCTTCAAGTTGTGCTCCTTAATGTGTTTTGCATATTCCTTTTGCTGCTTTATCTTTTCAGACTGCCAAAAGACAACAAAGAGAGGGTTAATAATAATTAGTGCGAGGCCTGACAATAAATGGAGAGAGAAACATTGTGTGTTTTATTTTACAGTTGATATACACACCCACAAGCAATGAGTGTGTTTGTGTGTCAACTGTAAAATAAAATGCACGAAGCTGATTGGTCTGGCAATGCCTGTGGTGATGGCTGAGCCTGGAACTTTTAGATACTGTTGCATTTTTGTTCAGGCTTGAGCTACACAGGTGTTCAGAGAGAAGCAGAGAGAAGAAGAGAGAAGCAAAGCGAGACAGATTGTTTTGCTTCTTGTCAGATAAGAGAGATGGGTGAAAACTAACAAAATGAACTTCTCAACAGTGACAAATGCAAGATACTCCACTTAGGCAGAAAAAATGAAATGCAAAGATACAGAATGGGGGGCGCCTGGCTTGAGAGCAGTACATGTGAAAAAGATCTTGGAGTCCTCGTGGACAAGAAGTTAAACATGAGCCAACAATGTGATGCGGTGGCAAAAAAAGCCAATGGGATTTTGGCCTGCATGGGAAGTCATGCTCCATATGTTCTATTCTGCCTTGGTTAGACCACACCTGGAATATTGTGTCCAATTCTGGGCACCACAATTGAAGAGAGATATTGACAAGCTGGAATGTGTCCAGAGGAGGGCGACTAAAATGATCAAGTGTCTGGAGAACAAGCCCTATGAGGAGCGGCTTAAGGAGCTGGGCATGTTTAGCCTGAGGAAGAGAAGGCTGAGAGGAGACGTAATAGCCATGCATAAATATGTGAGAGGAAGTCACAGGGAGGAGGGAACGAACTTGTTTTCTGCTGCCCTGGAGACTAGGATGCAATGGGACAATGGCTTCAAACTGCAAGAAAGGAGATTCCATCTGAACATTAGGAAGAACTTCCTGACTGTGAGAGCTGTTCAGCAGTGGAACTCTCTGCCCCGGAGTGTGGTGGAGGCTCCTTCTTTAGAAACTTTTAAACAGAGGCTGGATGGCCATCTGTCAGGGGTGCTTTGAATGCAATTTTCCTGCATCTTGGCAGAATGGGGTTAGACTGGATGGCCCATGAGGTCTCTTCCAACTCTTTGATTCTATGATTCTACGATTGTCTGCTGAAAAGAAGGCCTCTCATATGGATAAAGAAAGGACCACTGTAAATCTCTCATAAAAGGCCATTTAGTGAGTTGATGCAACTGACCATGTTGTACATATGTTGCTCTGAATTAAGAAGAGTAAACTACTTGCTCTTTATTGCATATTTTTCTTACTCTGGCAATGCAGTGGGCTGATCAAACGTGAACTACACGTGGTTTATTTTACATTCTCCAACATAGTGGACAAACCACTGGCAGTTTCCTGGGGATTGGGTTTTTGGAGCTCAATGGAGAGTAATTTTCAAGTCACAATTTTTCAGCCTGATCTACTTTAAAAGATTGTCTTAAGAAAAAGCATGGGTTGGTGGGCTTTTATGTTAGCAAGTTGTTAAACGCATTCCAGTTTCAATCCAATCTCTGTAGGAACTATCCGAGGTAACAAATCTATTTTATATGCAGAGATGCAATGCAGGCTTTATGACTGTGGTTCCCAACTTTTTTTTTTAAAACTAGGGACCACTTTGACCAGGGACCACTCTCCAACATTAGTACCAAAAGGGTTACAAATCACTGGGTTGTTGTGAGTTTTCTGGGCTATATGGCCATATTTTTGTGGCATCGAATGACTGCCGGTGTAAGTCTCCCTGAGTCCCCCCTTGGGGGTTCAGAAGGGCAAGTTAGAAATGTTCAAAATAAAGAAATATTCAGGGAGCATTCTCTCCTGATGTTTCACCCACATCTATGGAAGGCATCCTCAGAAGTTGTGAGATCTGCTGGAAAATAGGCAACTAGGGTTTATATACAAGTGGCAAGTCCAGAGTGGGAGTGAAAGGGTCGTTGAGTGAAATTAGCAAAGCTAAGCAAGGGGCTTTGAATGAAATTAAGAACAAAGGATAAATGTACCCTTTCTATGTAAAAAAGGAGTAATGTTTTTTAAAAAGAAAATGTTTTTTAAAAAAACAGGAGGTGATATATAGAGGTCATACAAAGTTCGAGCTTACATAGAAAGATGGGTTGTGGTTAAGTGCGAAGTCTGCAGGAGCAAAAAGGTACTTTCCATCAAGACGTTGATGGGACAGGAAGAATAAAGGTCAAAGTACTTTCCATGACAACAATATTCTTGTTTACTTGAGGAGATATAAAGATTTACAAAAGCCGAGAAGGGGGCGGCAGTCTGTGGAAGCACATACAAAAGTGCTGTCTGTCCGCCTCATGCTGATCAACTTGAATAAACAGTGTCTTACATGAACCTTTTGGACTCGGTGCATTTCTTCGAAAAGGGGCCCCGCACCCTAAACCCGTGATCCCTTACAGGAGAAAGAACTCTTGACTGCTTGAGGCAAGTGTGAATGTTGCAATTGTCCACCTTAATTAGCACTGAATGGCCTTGCAGCTTCAAAGCCTGGTTGCTTCCTACCTGGGGGAATCCTTTGTTGGGAAGAGTTAGCTAGTCTGTTGGAGGCAAGTGTGACTGTTGCAATTGGCCACCTTGATTGACATTTCATGGCCTTATAAACTCCACTTGTCTAGTTTCCAACAGACTTCACAACCTTGGATGATGCCTGACATAGATGCAGGCAAAATGTCAGGAGATTGGCCATACAGCCCAGAAAACTCACAGTAACCTAGTGGTTCTAGCCATGAAAGCCTTTGAAAATACATGATTACGAATCAGTTTTTAGTCAACTTTAAATTTGGTTTGATTATTTGGGATGTTGATTCAGAAAATTGCATTGGATAGACCACATCAGCTCTAGTTTCTGATAAAGAATATATGCCATCTGCTTGCCCGCAGAAAACCATATTTAATATGCCTCGGAAGTATAAAAGGGTTTCGTGTGCAGTCGCTCTTGTTGCAACGGTGAGGCCATAGACCATATTTTAGTTTTTGTGGACCATGGACCACAGGTTGGGAACCACTGCTTTATGGAGATTGTTTCTTCGCTGTGGGTCTATTTATTCCAACTTCAGCAGACCACATTGTCTGATTTCATAGCCTAGGCTAAAGAAAAATAAACCAGCTTGAAAACATCTCTGGATCACTACCTTTTGTGCTATTATTTAAGTGCAACTCTTGCTAGGTTGTCAGTATTATATTGGTGCTGTCTTCTTAGAAGAAGGTGGAAAAGCAGCCCAGATAAAACGCTATCAGATGGATCCTTAGAGCTTCTTGTAAAATCACCCGCAGTAAAGTGAGGATGGGAGGAAGTTTTCTTTCTGAGTCTTTTTCGGATGATTGGCCTCATCTTCTTCTGGGGCCCAGTAATACCTGATGCTTCCTAACAGAGTATAATGTGCATTTGGCTACTCTGCCGCTGCATTTGCTCGGCCGTGTTTACTTTCATTTCTTCCCCTTCTGCGATAAAGCCAGGCCATCTGAATTCACAGGGGCAGCTCAATTGCATTAAAGTAATGCACACTTGAACCAGCCGGAAGAGAATAAACTTGGGTGTACTTATCTGCAATTGGAATTCTCCGCAGGTGAGTACCAACTAATGGATACCTTTTGCTGAGGGGCAAAAAGAAAACCGTGGCTCGAAAATGTGATCCGCTCTGAATGTGATGGACACACATTTATTTACGTCACAAAGGCACACAGATGGAAATTGAGTAGAAGGCCCTGAGCTTGGAAAAAGGACATTTTAGGACTAAAATCTATCAGTCAACATGCCACTGGCTGTGGGAGATTAGAAGCTATAGTTTGCCCTGCAAAAAAGTGATTTTTCCCATAAGATGTTATCAAGTTTCACTGTTACTGAAGGCTACTTTAAGCCTATATTTCACTCTGAAATCTAAGGATATTGGTTTTTAATCAACTGAGTTTTCTTTTGGGGCATTCCTTTGGTTACCTATAACTTTGCAACTGGAGAATTGGCTTACTTGTGGGAGGCCTCCTATATAATCCATCATATCCGTAATATGGCATTTGGATAGAGATTGGAAATGTTATTTTCCCCCCATTATAAAAACCCAAAATATACCACTCTAGTCTCAAAAATGGCCCCCTTGGTGGCACAGCGGGTTAAACTGCTAAGCTGCTGAACTTGCTGACTGAAAGGTTGACAGTTCAAATCTGGGGAACGGAGTGAGCACCCGCTGTTAGCCCCAGCTTCTGCCAACCTAGCAGTTCAAAAACATGCAAATGTGAGTAGATCAAAACATACTGCTTCTGCAGGAAGGTAACGGTACTCCATACAATCATGCTGGCCACATGACCTTGGAGGTGTCTAGGGACGCCGGCTCTTTGGTTTAGAAATGGAAATGAGCAGCAATCCCCAGAGTCGGACATGTGTAGACTTATGTCAAGGGGAAATCTTTACCTTTACTTAGTCCTGAAAATGGTAACACTTGAGTCCCTTTGGGGAGATAGGGTGGTCAACAAACAAATAAATAATAATAATAATAATAATAATAATAATAATAATAATTAGAAACACAACAGGATGAGTCCACAGCAAACAAGATCACTCTGCTGGCTGTTGTATTGGATCACACATCGGACCCTTCCCAAGTGTCTAGGACTGTGTGATGTATCGGCAAATAATGTGTGCAGATCCCAGTAAGGTGGCCTTCTGCAGCTAGCAGATGGTAATTTTGTCAGTGCCTATTGTGTTTAAGTACAGACCAAGGTCTTTAGGCACCAGTAGTCTGCTGCTGCTGCTGCTGCTGCTGTTGTTGTTGTTGTTTCCATTATTGTCCATCCTGGATATGAATCATGGGGCCTAAAGTGTCTGGAGGCTACTATCAGTTTCAGCAAACCATTAACTAGTCACCAAACTAATGTGGATGATTCCTTTTTCCTTCATTGAACCAGAACCATTTCCCATTAGCTTCACAGAGCAACCCAACATTGTAGTATTCTCTTCCTGTGATACTTAGGTACTTCCAAACTCACTTCCAAGTTTATAAACCTCTACTTCCCTGTATTTTAAGTTTCTGATGGTCATTACTATTCCCTCTGCCAAGCAATTGCAAAGATCATCGTTTGAAATGCCACACATGCCACTTACTTTCTCTTTGATTCCCTCATAGTCAGGTCCAAGGCCTCCAAGCTTCACATCCATCTTCATGTAGCCTTTTGTCCTGGAACCCTAAATGAACAGTTAAAATTATGTTTTGCCTCTTTGAGGGTTTTTTTTAGTGTTATAAAATATACCATGAAAGAATAGTTTACAAACAGAGGAAGAAACTGAAAGAACTGGAGCAAGGCTGGGGAAATCTCTGCTTGTCCACATATTTTGGACAACAGACCTTACCGTCTCACCATCAGTCATGTTGCTGATGGGACTTGTAGTCCAAAACATCCGAATGGGTGGGCAACAATGGCTCGACCAATGGTGGCTAGTGTTCTGCATAGTTGTGCTTCCACGCTTAATTTGGTCCCAGCTTCAATCCAGACTGTAAAGGAGATGTCCAAGGTGCTGAATCTACTCTGGGGACAGCGTTCAGCATTTTGGAGAGCTGCTTTCAAATTTAGATCAGTGACCCTCAAACGCTAGTCTTTCAGGTGTTTTCAGGTTGTAGTTTACCTACATCCAGAGAGCACTGGGGACTCAAACAATGATGGATCTGGACCAAACTTGGCACAAATACTCAATATGCCCAAATATGAACATAGATGGAGTTTGGGGGAAATAGCCTTGACATTTGGGAGTTGTCGTTAATGGGATTTATAGTTCACCTACAATCAAAGAGCATTCTGAACCCCACAAACGACAGAATTGGAGCAAACCTCCCACACAGAACTCCAATGACCAACAGAAAATGTTTAAGGCCATCCAGTCCAACTCCCTTCACCAGGTCAAGAAAACGTAATCAAAGCCCTTTTGACAAAGAGCCATCCAGCCACAGATATTGATATATATGATTCACACACAGACACACACACACACACATACACACAGAGATATAGTATCATAGATTTGAAAGGGACCCCTACAGAAGGACAGTTATATGCTGCCTGTTCCAAGGTAGGCAACCATACAATCTCTACATCAGCACTGACAAATACACAGCAAGAAATACTGTTTACTCACAAAGCAGAAAGAAATTACATATATTAGAAACCAACACTTTCTAATTACTTTATTTTCCAGATCACCAGACTGGGCAGACTGAGCCACAGCAATGTGTGGCAGGGGACGGCTAGTAATAATAATAATAATAATAATAATAATAATAATAATAATAATTATTATTATTATTATTATTTCCGTTATTGTCCATGTTAGATATTAATCATGGGGTTGAGGCCAAAAGTATCTGGAGGCTGCTACCAGCTTCAGCAAAACATAAACCAATTGCCAAACTAATGTGAGTGATTCCTTTTTTCTTAATTAACCAGAACCATTTCCTATTAGCTTCACTGAGCAACCCAACATTGTAGTATTTTCTTCCAAGTTTCTTCCAAGTTTCTCCAGCTTACTTCTGAGTTTATAAATCTCTTCCAGCCATAGTGAGAAGATCTATAGGTACCGCTTATGCAGAAAGGTAACGGCACTCCATGCAGTCATGCTGGCCACATGACTTTAGAGGTGTCTATGGACAACGCTGGCTCTTCAGCTTAGAAATTGGGATGAGCACCAACACCCAGCGTTGGACATGACTGGATTTAATCTCAGGGGAAAATCTTTACCTTTACCCTAAAATTGGAAAGAATGGGAACAAAATCTGGGTCCTTTTGACCAGTCTGGGGTTGTCATGAGATGGAGAGGCTTGTGGAAAAGGGGTCTGTTCAGAGCTTCAAATATGCATCATGAATTGTGGTTACTGCCCACCTCTCAGAAAGTCTTGAGAAAGCGACATGTTAAGACCATGATTCCAGCCTGCCCCCACCCCAAAAGGACAAGGATAAGAGTCTGAAATTAAGGAGGAGAGAAAGGGAAGGAAAAGTGCCCTGCAGTTGCAGATCTAATCCAGTTAATTCCTTCTGAAGGGCAATCACGCAGCAATCCACAAAATGCTACTGAGTCAGTGCACACTAACAATTATTCCAGCTTAATCTGTCTGCTTTGAGGCCAGAAGCTAGCGTCTTAAAACATTTCAATTGGTCATGGGAGCATGGAGTTGTTTTTCAGCCATTTTGTCACACTGGGATAACATACTTTTTGGACGGAAACTTTTTGGACGGAAACTCAAGTACCCAAGAGAAAGTGAACTCAGGTTTGGTGAGAGAAGGGCGAGAAGAGACTTAAGGTTCAAACAAACAAACACATCCTACCCACTAAGAAAATCCAAAAAATGCTCAGTTCAGCAAAGGACAAGAAGGATCCTCCCACTGCTGCCACATTCAGTATTATGTTTTCTAGCCGCTCATATGTATTCCCTGTAGGTCCACTCCGTCGTTGATACTTGTACATTGAATCCGATTCACTCGAAGAACTGTCCACATTGGAATAGTGCCGATTCTATGTTTTCTATACTTTCACAAACTACCATCTGGGGAAGACTCTACACAATTGAAACCTGTCATGTTTAAAACCTTGGATTTGTTTAAAAACTTTGGACTAAAAAAGGACTTATAAACTTGGACTTATAGGATTGGATTTACAGTTGCTGGGATTTATAGTTCACCTACAATAAAAGAGCATTCTAAACCCCACTAATGGTAGAATTGAACAAAACTTGGCACTAACAAATCCCATGATGACCAACAAAAAATATTGGTTTGGTGGGTATTGACATTGAATTTGGGAGTTGTAGTTCACCTACATCTAGAGGGCACTGTGGACTAAAACAATGATAGACGATATGGACCAAACTTGGCACAAATGCTCAATATACCCAAATGTGAACACTCATGGAGTTTGGGGAAAATAGACCTTGATATTAGGGAATTGTTGTTGCTGGGATTTATAGTTCAACTTACAATCAAAGAGCATTCTGAACTCCACCAATGATGGAATTGAACCAAACTTGGCACACCGAACTCCCATGACAAACAGAAAATACTTGAAGGGTTTGGTGGGCATTGACCTTGAGTTTTGGAGTTGTAGTTTACCTACATCCAGAGAGCACTGTGGACTCAAACAATGATGGATCTGGACCAAGCTTGGCACAAATACTCAATATGCCCAAATGTGAACACTGGTGGAGTTTGGTGAAAATAGACCTTGACATTTGGGAGTTGTAGCTGCTGGGATTTATAGTTCACCTACAATCAGAGAGCATTCTGAACCCCACCAAGGATAGAATTAGGCCAAACTTCCCATACAGAACTACTGTGTTTCCTGATGGTCTTTGGTGACCTCTTTGGCATGCCCTTGTGACCCCCCCCCCCCCCCCCCCGGTCCCAACTCCCAGGTTGAGAAATGCTGGGTTAAAAGAGCTTTCTCCCTTCCTTTCAAATAATAGCTTTTATCCTGTTACACGATGCTAAGGTTGGTTTATACATAATTTTGTGACTTTTTGGATTCACATTTATGGATATTAATAACTGAACAAGTTAAATCTACATTCAATTTGCTGTAGGCAAGGTACTAATAGGCTACATCTGCCTGCCACCTCAGGAGGAGGAGGAAATCCTGCTGCTACTCTCCCACTTCCAAGCCAGCTTAGAGGAGGAAGGGGACTGAGGAAGAGACTTTAAAAACACCTGTCTCCTGGCTGTTGCTTACTACATCTGCCTGCCACCTCAGGAGAGAAGGAGGAAATCCTGCTGCTACTCTCCCCCTCCCAAGCCAGCTAAGAGGAGGAAGGGGACTGAGGAAGAGACTTTAAAAACACCTGTCTCCTGGCTGTTGCTTACTACATCTGCCTGCCACCTCAGGAGGAGAAGAGGAAATCCTGCTGCTACTCTCCCCCTCTCAAGCTAGCTAAGAGGAGGAAGGGAACTGAGGAAGAGACTTTAAAAATACCTGTCTCCTGGCTGTTGTTTACTACATCTGCCTGCCACCTCAGGAGGAGAAGGAGGAAGTCCTGCTGCTACTCTCCCCCTCCCAAGCCAGCTAAGAGGAGGAAGGGGACTGAGGAAGAGACTTTAAAAACACCTGTCTCCTGGCTGTTGCTTACTACATCTGCCTGCCACCTCAGGAGGAGAAGGAGGAAATCCTGCTGCTTCTCCCCCCCCCCCCAAGCCAGCTAAGAGGAGGAAGGGGACTGAGGAAGAGACTTTAAAAACACCTGTCTCCTGGCTGTTGCTTACTACATCTGCCTGCCACCTCAGGAGGAGAAGGAGGAAATCCTGCTGCTACTCTCCCCCTCCCAAGCAGCTAAGAGGAGGAAGGGGACTGAGGAAGAGACTTTAAAAACACCTGTCTCCTGGCTGTTGCTTACTACATCTGCCTGCCACCTCAGGAGGAGAAGGAGGAAGTCCTGCTGCTACTCTCCCCCTCCCAAGTCAGCTAAGAGGAGGAAGGGGACTGAGGGAGAGACTTTAAAAACACGTGTCTCCTGGCTGTTGCATATTATTTCTGTTGTGGTTTGATATTGGATTTAACATTTTTATGTGCATTTTGATATTATGTATATTACTTGTTGCCTGTAAACCGCCTTGAGTCGCTGAAAGGCTGAGAAAGGCGGTATACAAATACAGTAAATAAATAAATAAGGGGATAACATTGTTGTCCTCGCTGATCTACTGCATGGCCTTCATCCCTTCTACCACTAGATCCAAACCCATCTTCTGCCCAGTTTGATGTTCTCCCACCATACCTTTCTATTCTCCTTTTCCATCCTCTCCTTGTCTTTTTCCATCTGAAGCAAGTAGCCTTCGGAGTTGCTGCGGCTCAGAACTGGCTGGCTTTCTTCACAGCTCTCCGTGTTGAGCCGCGAGTCACTATCCCCTCTCTCTATGATGGGTGGAAACATGCTAGCAAACTGGTTTCCAGCGAGGTGGGCATCTGCCAGCTGAGAGATTTCCTGGTGACGCCGCTCTGCCGCCTGGATGAGCCGAGTGGTTGGAGAAGGGGCTTCTATCAGGTTGCGAGCGGGTGGCTGGAATGGCCTCAAGAAACAACAAATCAACCAACCAAAACAAGACAATCACAAAAAGGAAATAATTTTGAGACTCACACAACTGGTCATATTGAGACTTTTTTATCTACCCACATCCACCAAACACTGCTGCTCATGTTATTCATTCCCATTATCTTTCTGGCCCATCTGACGTTGGTCCTTTGGATCCCTTCTATGGTTTGCTATCTTGCTTCTCAGTCCCACACCAACACCCTGTCCTTCAAAGCAGCCCCTGCGTATCGCCTGACAGGACCTCATTGCACATCCCTACTGTGACCGCCAGCACAATCCAAGCACATCCCTACTTGTGAATTTTCATTGCGTCAATTTTCAGTGATTTTCTTTGATCAAGGCCCTGGAGAACAAGGCCAGTGAGGAGTGGCTTAAAGAACTGGGTATGTTTAGCCTGCAGAAGAGAAGGCTGAGAAGACACATGATGAGGGCCATGTATAAAGAGATGAGGGGAAGCCACAGGAAGGAGGAGGAGGAAGCTTGTTTTCTGCTGTCCTGGAGTCTAGGACATGGGAGAGCTGTTCATCAGTGGAACTCTCTGCTCTAGATTTTGGTGGAGGCTCCTTCTTTGGAGGCTTTTTAAACAGAGGCTGGATGGCTATCTGTTGGGAGTGCTTTGAATGTGATATTCCTGCTTCTTGGAGGAATGGGGTTGGACTAGATGGCCCATGAGGTCTCTTCCAATTCAATGATGCTATCCCTGGTGCTCCTTAGGTAGGAATGTCTTCCCAGAATTAAGGTAGAAGGGACAACTGTAGTTTTCCAGATGTGTTTACTATAACCCCCAGCAGGCTGGGTGAGCACAATCAATGGTGAGATATCACGGAGAGCCCACATTTCCAATAACACCAGGAAGTCCACAATTACCTCCAGAATCTCACAGCTGAGATTCGATCTATTTGGAGGACATAAATTGGGGGAGTGATTAAAAGACTTTAATCTGGGTGTGAATATATCACCTGCTTTCATTATAATTACACTGTGTAACAAACACCGCCTGAGCTCTGCAAGTGCAGCATTTTTCCGAATGAAGCAGAGAGTGTTTGAGGACCAAGATATCCGTAGGGATACCAAGGTGTTTGTTTATAAAGTTATTGTCCTCTCAACCCTGATGTATGCCTGAGAGACYTGGACTGTCTACAGACATCACATACAACTCCTGGAATGATTCCATCAGCAGTTGCCTCCYAAAAATCCTGCAAATCTCTTGGGAAGACAAGCAGAGAAATGTCAGCGTGCTGGAAGAAGTAAAGARGACCAGCATTGATGTGATGGTACTCTGTCATCAACTTCGCTGGACCGGCRATGTTGTCTGGATGCCCGACCACRGTCTCTCAAAGCAGTTGCTCTACTCCGAACTCAAGAACGGAAAACGGAATGTTGGCGGGCAGGAAAAGAGATTGAAAGATGGGCTCAAAGCCAACCTTAAAGACTCTGGCATAGACACTGAGAACTGGGAAGCCCTYGCCTGTGAGCGCTCCAGTTGGGGGTCAGCTGTGACCAGCAGTGCTGCAGAATTTGAAGAGGCACAAATGGAGGGCGAAAGAGAGAAACGTGTCAAGAGGAAGGAGCGTCAAGCCAACCCCAACTGGGACCGCCTTCCACCTGGAACCCAATGCCCTCACTGTGGGAGAAGATGCAGTTCAAGAATAGGGCTCCACAGTCACCTACGGACCCACCCCCAGGATACCACACTTGGAAGACCATCATCCTCACGACTACGAGGGATCGACTAAGTAAATAAGTAAGTAACAAAGTGTGAAAACCTTTCTGTTCCTGGTTCCAAAGTCTTATTTCCTGTTTAATTGTGTAGTACTTATTTTGAAAGTAGTTGTTTTACTCCGGAAACTTTGTTTTTGTGACTGCCACAAACTATGTTGAATTGAATGTATTGTCAAAGGCTTTCATGGCCGGAATCACTGGGTTGTTGTAGGTTTTTTTGGGATATATGGCCATGTTTTAGAGGCATTCTCTCCTGACGTTTTGCCTGCATCTATGGCAAGCATCCTCAGAGGTAGTGAGCATAGTGAATTGGTTGAGACTCGATGAGATACTCATTGAAAACCTATACCAAAATGTGCTGCAGGATGTCCTGCAAAAACAAAGTTTTTGCAGTTTAATAAACATTTCCCATGTTTTTATGAGAGAACCAATTAGGAAATGACATTTATAACCCAGGAACAAATATTGTGTTATATAGTATTATCTGCCTTAATTTAATCAAACTGCGTTCTTACCCCGAGTGACTAGAAACATAGTTGCTTGGGGTTTTCTCTGTACGAATCTGATTTGGATCCCAAGTTGAAGCTTGTTTGTTTACTGGCTGTTGGAGGCCAGAGTGGTACGTAGACGAGAGACCTCTGTGCCCTAGGAAGTTCTGACGCTTGCCATGTCTCGCGAAAGACCGAGGCTCGGAAACAGTACGCCTATATGGGTCTCGGTAGCCGGGCCCAGAAGGATTTTCAGGAGCATGTAGGGTCTCTTTCTTCTCCCTCTCTCCAGTATTTGCTGAATGAATCCCTGGAAAGTTTTGGTATGAACTTGGCTGATGAGGATTCCTAGCAAAGGCTAAATTCATGGAACGTGGCTTGCCCCTCTGTTGAACACTGCAGGATGGGTCCGTAGGAAAGGGGCTTTCCCAACTGGAGTTATCTGCACTGGAAGCGCAGTGAGATGTAACAGATGGATCTGGGTAGAAAATCTGATGCAACAATTCTCTATCAGAGCTGGAATCTGGGAGAGCATTCTCAAATTCTACCATATTGTGACATCTGCCACGCTGTCCTCTTAGTTCTACTCGGTCTTCCAATGGATGCTGGGCAGGGATCCTACTTAAGGAGTTGTCTTCTAAGAATCCATCTTGGCTCAAGTCTGTTGCATCCATCCCAGGCATTTTGTGCAGGTGAGCCTGAAAGGAGCAAACAAATTCATTGTGAAACTTAAGCTTTGTACCCATTGTAGATAGGTACACTTTGAGTACACTGGCATGGAATGAAGACTAAGAAAAGAGCAAGCCTTATGCACTTCACTTGGAACTACAATGAAAATCAAATGTGTATTTATTTCAGTTTTAATTGCATATTTTCCCTAAAGACCTTGGAGTGGTATACCTGTCTGGTTTCCTTCATCATTCCAACTTTATCCTCTCAACAAACTGTAAAATATACGATATTGAGAGATAACAACTGACTTGAGGTAATACAGCGAGAACTTCATGTAGACATTTGATTCTGTATTTCACCAGTCCTCACCTAACACTATAAATATTATACCACATTAATTCTGACATTTTCTGTGGTACTAACTCTAAGATCTTCCGGGGAGGCCCTCCTTTTGCTCCCACCACCGTCACAAGTATGGTTGGTGGGGAAGAGAGACAGGGCCTTCTCGGTGGTGGCCCCCCGCCTCTTGAACGCTCTTCCAAGGGAAATAAGACAGGCCCCATCCCTCCCCTCCTTTCATAAGAGCTTGAAGACCTGGTGGTTTCAACAAGCCTTTGAGAATGACTAGTTCTAACTCAGCCCTACCCGTTGTTGAATATGGCCTTATTGTTCCTACCTATCTACCCCAGTCACTTCCTCTAATAGGCCATGGAAATGAGCAACCACAGACCCAGACATGCTATAGCTGTTGCCTGTTATAACACTATACTCAATTCCTGGGCCCCTCATACTTTGAGTTTGCACTAGCCTCAGTTCGGGCGTTTTAAATGCTTTGAACAGGCAGGATTATCTATATAAATAAAAATGTAATGTTCGTTTGTGGGATTAACAGAACTCAAAAACCACTGGACAAATTGACACCAAATTTGGACACAAGACACCTAACAACCCAATGTATGTCCTTCACTCAAAAAAATTGATTTTGTCATTTGGGAGTTGTAGTTGCTGGGATTTATAGTTCACCTACAATCAAAGAGCATTCTGAACCCCATCAATGATGGAACTGAACCAAACTTGGCACACTGAACTCCCACGTCCAACAGAAAAATACTGGAAAGGTTTAGTGGACACTGACCTTGAGTTTTGGAGTTGTAGTTCACCTACATCGAGAGAGCACTCTGGACTCAAACAATGATGGATCTGGACCAAACTCTACACGAATACTCAATATGCCCAAAGGTGAACACTAGTGGAGTTTGGGGAAAATAGAATCTTGACATTTGGGAGTTGTAGTTGTTGGGATTTGTAGTTCACCTACAATCACAGAGCATTCTGAACCCTACCAACAATAGAATTGGGCCAAATCTCCCACACAGAACCCCTATGACCACCAGAGTGGGCCACAGCAACGCTGGCAGGGGATGGCTAGTTTTTAATATATGTGTTATTGTGATAATTTTTATGCTTATATTGTTAATTTTATGTTTATGTTGTTTACGCTGTATGCTTTGGTGATGTTACTTGGAAACCGCCCTGTGAGGTAGAGCTAATGGAGTTGCCCGGTGAGCTTGCACTGGCAGAAGGGATGAAGGTTTCTGAAGAGGTTTCTGAAGAGGTGGACAACTGCCATACAAGGGAACTGTGGGCTCGGAGGGCATACAACTGGACAATCCCAGTTGTAGAAGTCATGTGAGAACATCAAACCACCCAAAAAACTGAGGCGGAAGCATCGGCCAACCATGCCTTCCAGCACCCTGTCTGACTCTGCATGCAAGGACCATCACAAGTTGGTAAACACCTTCTTAGCAGCAGCCATAGTGAAGCACCATGCATATATTTGTCCAGTACTATGGCTTCCACAGCTCACAGTTCCCTTGTATGGAAGTGGAATGCATGAGGGGGTAAGGTCTGTAGTACAGTCTAGTGGAGAGATTTGGGTTAGGGCCAAATAATCTCTGTTCAACCATGACCTTCATTGGGTGACTGTACTGCATCCTGTCAGATCCCCAAAATCTGGAGGAAAGCAAGAGTCATAGCCATATTGAAATCAGGCGAAGACCATAATGATTCAAAAAGCTATAGACCAATCTCCCTGTTGTACCACCTTTACAAAGTTCTAGAGAGACTTATTTTGCATAGAATTATGGAAAAAATAGACCATGTCTGATTCCACAGCAAGCTGGCTTCAGGAAAGGCAAAAGCTGCACATCGCAAGTGCTGAACTTGACTCAGCACATAGAAGATGGCTTTGAAAGGCAGCAGATCACAGGAGCTGTCTTCATAGACCTGCTATGATACTGTAAACCACTGCCTCCTCTCCTGAGTAAAATGTATAATACTACAAATGATTACCATTTCACCCGCCTCATAGGAAACCTGCTACAAAACAGGAGCTTTTTTGTTGAGTTCCAGGGCCAAAGAAGCAGATGGTGGAAACAGAAGAACAGCCTGCCTCAGGGGAGCGTGCTTGCTCCATCCATGTTCAACATTTACACAAATGACCAGCCACTGCCAGAAGGGACAGAGAGCTTCATCTATGCTGATGATCGTGCCATCACTGCTCAAGCAGGGAGCTTTGAGATGGTTGAACAGAAGCTCTCCGAAGCTCTAAGCCAGGGGTCCTCAAACTAAGGCCCGGGGGCTGGATGCGGCCCTCTAAGGTCATTTACCCAGCCCTCACTCAGGGTCAACCTAAGTCTGAAACTACACAACAACAACAACATTTCTATCTCATCAGCCAAAAGCAGGCCCACACATCCCACTGAAATACTAATAAGAGAGAAAGATTCACAAACCTTGTGGATGAGGTAAGTATTTTGAGATAGTTCTGGGGACTATATGAAACTCCAAGGATAAAGTCTTTAGTTTTAAATGGGAAGCAAAGTTGGAGTACTGAAGACCCCGTCACTTTGGAACACCAAATAGAAGCAACTATTGTTGGCTGAAATCTCAAAATGTGGCCATACAGTGTATGATACAATTGAAAAATTATCACCACCAACCAACCTTGAGATTCTGAGATGCCATCATAGATGGTCAGGAATGCTTATTTTGCTCATAATTTTGATGCAGTTGATGAGAAAATAAAGCCATAAGCCTTTCCTTTTGAAGTTCAAGTACCATGTATACTAGTTTTAACCACTGTATATAGGTCAATGCTACATAAATAGTTGGCAAACACTGTTCCACATTTTTCCATCTGTACGATATAATGCAGGGACTAAAAGGGAATGCTTGTGAGATTATCAACTCCTTTTAGTTATGCACGTCACAAATAGAAAATGAGTATTTCAGTAAAGGAAGTAGATTGGATTTTATTTGAAGGGAACGCATTGTGGGTACAAACTGAACATCTAAGGTCTCAGCAACCCCAGAACAAATGCCAGGGGAAAATATACTTCATTTTCAGAAGATTCTTAGATTACCTTTTTATAAAAATAACAAAAAAAATTCTTGTATTAATCAATTGTTCTAGACTGGATCTTAAAAATACACTAGACAGGTAGGATCTTCTATAGTATATAGTCTTAGGTGGACAGCATCACAAAAGGCAGAGAGGTAGATACCCATATATGCTTGAGTAGAATATAAGCCGAGGTACCTAATTTTACCATAAAAAACTGGAAAAATGTATTAACTCAAGTATAAGCCAAGGGTGGGAAATGCAGCAACTACTGGGAAATTTTAAATTAAAAATAGATACCCATGAAATTACATTGAGGCATCAGTAGGTTAAATGTTTTTGAATATTTACATAAAACTGGAATTTAAGACTCTGCCCAACTCTGATTAAATCATTATAGAAATGTTCTTTAATATAAATGCGCTTACAAATCCTTCCAATAATAATGAAGAGGGTAAAATAATAAATGTAACAATAAATAATAATAATAATAATAATAGAGTAAAATAATGGAAATGTAATAATAACAATAATAATAGAGTGAAATAATAATAATAATAATAATAATAATAATAATAATAATAATGGAGTATAATAATAAATGTAATAATAACAGAGTAAAATAATAAATGTAATAATAATAATGGAGTATAATAATAAATGTAATAATAACAGAGTAAAATAATAAATGTAATAATAATAATGGAGTATAATAATAAATGTAACACTAAGAATAATAAAGTAATGCATGTAATAATAAGAATAGAGTAAAATAATGAATGTAATAATAATAATAATAAATAGAGTAAAATCATAAATGTAATAATAGTAAAAATAAATAGAGTAAAATAATAACTGCAATAATAATAATACAGTAAAATAATGAATAATAATAATATAATAATAGAGTAAAAAATAAATGTAATAAAATAATAATAGAGTGAAATAATGTAAATGTAATAATAATAATAATAATAAATAATAATAATAATATAAATAATAAATGTAATAAAAATAATAATAACAGAGTAAAATAATAAATAACTTTGACTCAGTATAAGCCGAGGGGGACTTTTTGAGCCTAAAAAAAGGGCTGAAAAACTCAGCTTATACTTGAAAATATACGGTACCTTGGGATAGAATTAATACATATCTAGATTGTTGTTTAACTCAGCAAGTTACATCAGGCCAGTTGCAATGTATCTTTCTAGTTAAAACTCTAGGTAAATAACCAGCTTAAAATGAGTATTTTCTGTCCTATGGGAAGGAATGCCTCTCCAATGCATGAAGCTTCCAATGATAAAGAAAGGAATTGCTTCTGTATGATCTTGCCTTTATTCACATGCAATTTCTTTTTTAAAGGGCAATATTCCACATCAGCTGCTTAGTTAAGTATACAGATGAGTAAACACTGTATTCATCACTGCCCTCAAGTTAAATTTGTGACAGTATTACTATTGCTACTAATTCCCACTCCAAACCTATGAGGGTTGAAGGAAAAGTAATGCCTCCACCTTTGTAACTCCTCAACAGATGGCAGTACTGGTATGTGGCTTGTTCAATAGACTCTCCTCTACAGTTCCATTTTGGCAGGAAGCCTTAACATTGAACGGTTGTGTTGTT